CCTTCGTTGGGCGGGATGCCTCCATGTTCCGAATGACTAGTCCCTGCGCCTGTGATGCCGTCCAACGCCTAAAATGCATGTCGATGTCCCGAATTACCACATGCCGTCGTGTTCCAGTTTCATGGGTTCCTCTCCGTTGGTTGAAGGTTCTAGCGGTAGAACTCTCCGCGCTTGATGTTGACTCCGTATTCGCCTACTGCCATACCCAGGTCCTCCATAGTAAGCACGGTGCGTCCTTGATTGCCACCCTGGCCTCCACCTCCATATCCTGGTCGCTGGATGCCGAGGTTGTAGTCCTTGGCCTTGGAGCCGCTATCCTTGCCGCCAGGCGCACCACCAGGCGCTGCTGCTGCCGGCGCTCCTCCTGCGCCACCCATAGGGTTGTTACTTGTGGTGTTGGATGACCTGATGCGAGAGAACTGGTAGGCGTCGGCTGCGATGTCGGCGATGAACTTCTGTGTCGCGAGCGCAAGGAGACGTGCGAGGTGTTGTGATGTCTGAGGTGGCGGTGGCAGACCGGCGCGTGTCAAGTAATAGTTGGTCACTGCATCGGGTATCTGGAGGCCTGGTTAGTGTGCGATGCTTGGAATGGAGACGGCATTTAGCATACGATCGGCGCGTAGTCATCCATCTTGCCCAGGAACTCGCGCAATGTTGCGTCCTTCTTCGCAGGTATGCGCGCCTCAAAGGCGGCGGCAGAGTCTGCCATGCCGTTGACCGCTGCGGGCTCTGCATCATTTGCGCCGTCGAGATTCATAGCGTCGGTTTCCAGTCGTGTCGCGTCTTGCTTGATCTCGTCGTCCACCGTCTGGTCTAGTTCGTCGTTGACCTCCATGTTCGTGTCCGGAGGTTGAGAGTTGGTTTCGGACATAGTTGCGATACGAGTGATATGTGTTGCGACGTGGTAGTGCGAGGTATGACGTGGGGTGGTTTGTTCGGGTTGCGGACTGCGGAGACAAGCGCGGGAGTGAACGCGCCCGCCAAGCAGCAGGAACGGTCACGTGATCTCAGGGTGATTGGGTGAGCTTCCTAGGTACCTTCAATGCACACAAACTCTACAGCCGCGTACAATAGCTATTAGCGTGGATGTAGAGAGTCGCAGTACTTGTGTTATTGCAATTAGTTTATGCTACTTATGATTCCTTAGTGATCCTGCATCAGAATCGGAGACGCCCCGTTCGGGTACTCCGGTCCTGGCGGAAGGCGTTCGCACTACGCCTGGATGGGAAGCAACCTTAACGTCCATCCTCTACTGTCATCTTTCGCTGAACCTCCCAGTCCCCTAGCAATGAAGCAACGAAGCGCAGAGCTGGAGTCGGATGGAGTGGAAAGGAAGGGGTAATACCAGTGAGGGGAGATTTGAGGGAACCTTGGAACTAATGCAGATGTGCTCAGGGAGGTCAATGCGGCACCCCGCAGAGCCTCAACCAGACCTCGGGAGATTTCTGGAGCCAGGAGCGTAACAGCCTACGAATTGTCTTTCGCGCACGAACCCAATGAACGTCGCCGACAAAGACACCGTGACGGGTGTTTTGCGAGTCCCGCCTGTCTCTTGACATAGGGCAGGTGTGCAGCAGTCACGAAATCCTCTTGTCCACGACGTCGGTACGAGCGAGCGCTGAAGATACACCCAACATCAACAGCAGATGTAGCACACACATGGCCGGTCAGATAAACGGTCTCGCGCGTAGTTGCATGTCGGAAGGCTTGTCTACCGTGACAGCGTCAGAACGTTGCGCGAAACTCATCTCCTTCCCCACAAGCCCAGGCAGCTTTGTGCCACCATGTCATTCTTGTGTCACCACTCTCACCGGAACCGTGGATGCTACTGGGTCGCCGACCTGACTATACTGAACTAAGTACGTCTACCATCGACCATTTAGCCTATCATTACACGGACTTGAAGAGCGGGTACGACGCCGACACGCAGACGACAAGGGCGAAAAGCACAAGGTCTGGCAATTCTGGTACGAGCAACACGCGCTGCCACCTAACGAACACGTGAGCGATGCCTAGAGCTGGACCTCGGGATCAAAGGCTATACTCTCGTACGAGGACAACTCAAGCACGGAGTGGAATAATATCTGTAAACGTTCCTAGAGCGATCGACCAGCGCAGCGAGATGCGCTATTGCGCCTTGCGCAAGAAAGCTTGTGTGGCAATTGAGACATGCTCCGATACAGATGCTGCATTCAGCTCCATGATGCGAGACGCCTTCACGCCTTCCAACTCGAGAGATAACTAGCCAGATCCAATTTTGTGAGTAAACCTGAAGGGTCTTTCTGCCGCTTGCTGATCAAATTCCACAGTTTGCTCAGATACGTAATTTTGGATTGTATCCGTACTAGAGCCATACCGGCATCGTGGTAGGTCGGCGATCTTACAAAATCGTACCATAGCAGATAAAGTGCTTTCTACCAAGAAAGCTTCGCATCCTTCCCGTGGCCCGCGTCCGCGTCATGCCTCACCCGCTCTTGCATCCGTAGCGCTGACGCTGTTTTGAGGCGTTCACTTTATTACATCCCTTCACCAATTGTGCAGACGTTATACCGCCGCAACCTGATCTAGATCTGGGGGCCTTACGTCTGCATGTCCACAATTCGGGTGTCTAGCGCAACGCATCTATATTGGAGATAAAAAAGGGTCTCCGAGGCCTGAGGCTAATTACCCGGCTAGGCTAGCTCTCTGCAGGTTACTGGAGACAGCTGTGGCGCATGCGCTGGCCTTAGCCCCACCAGGCCCCGGGGCGAGGCTTGTAACCCACTACCACCATCTCATGGAAACGATGAAGACGAAATTGTGCACAAACATCGCAGTAGCTGCTTGGGTGTCTGATTAAATTCTCCAGAACCGAATTTACCGAACTCGTGTCTAGATCAGCCACTACACCGGTTCGTTCCAATGATTCCAAGGTCATCTTCATGAGATAGTGCCACAGCACCGCACCGTCTTGTAGCGTATGGACAAGCCTTGCATCCGCCGCGACTACTAAGGCCCGCTCCGCACGCTACTGTCAGGCGTTCCCCTTTACTCCGGTGGACAGTATCCCTGTTGCAAACCTCGAAGACGACCCATGTGTAGAGTAGAGGCATGCTGGTACTCGGGGTCGTCGATACCACTGTCGATTCTGACCCACGTCGCACAGAAATCTACTCTCGAATTGACCGGTTTATCTCTAGGGCTTACACGGACTTCCATGCCGGTTTCACTTCAAATAAAGGCCTCATGCAAGGCCTCCAACGTTGACATCACATTGAAGCCTCCTCGGCGTTCATCTCTAGGTAAACTCATCACAGGAACATCGCTCTATGGATGGAGAAGCCCGATGGGCCGAGATGTACGAACGAGAACGCAAGGATAATCCACTTCGTGGAGGGCCACAGCGTCTCGAAGATTGTTTTCGGCCCACGGGCAAGCAGTGCCAGCTTCTCGATGGCTGGACTCTCCCGACCAGGGCTTTCTTAGCTCTCAACTCAAGCACCGGGAGCTTAGCATAGCCATCCTTCATCTATAAAGCAACCTGCCTCCCTCTCCTCAATTCTTCATCCACTCACTCCTCAAACCACTTCATCCACTCTACAGCCGCAAAACTCAAACCGCAAACCTTCAACATGCAGTTCACCCAGATCCTCCTCCTGGCCATCGCGCCTTTCATGGTCGCCGCCACCCCAGTCGACGCTGAGGGTGTCACTTCCGTCAACAGCTTCCCCCTCGAGGCCCGCGGCGGCAAGGACTTCTGCGGAAGTGATCTGCGCTCTGCTGGCGGCGCTTGCACTTTCGGTGGCGGCGAGAACGACCCCCATGCTTGCGGTGTCAAGGACAGGCAGGTTGTCGTAAGTGTCTCCACCTTGTAATCTGCAAAACCGAATGCTAACAATTGTAAAGCTGTACTGCAAGGGCGGTATCTGGACCATCGACCACCGCTGCGCAGCTGGTCAGATTTGCAGGTGCAACAAAGGTACTCCTAAGCGTGGTGACCTGGTTTGCAAGTCTGGTTAAATTACTGGTTGCCTTTCGGTCACTAGTGTCAATGAGTGGAGTTTGAGGATTGCAAGGACGTGAGGTGGAGAAGTCTTTCATTCAAGGTTACATACCACCAATTTATTTGACGACGTCCCGATACAATGAAACCGTTCAAGAGAATATCATACTCATCACCATGTCTAAGGATCTACCACTCTCGTGCTCCTGCTGTATCGCTCAGACCGTGTTTCTACATCCTTTTCGCACGATTGCGCGTTGTGTCTAATCACTCCAGTTTCGGAGCTCCACTTAGCAATCTAGATTCTTTCCAAGAGAAGTGGTGGCTGAGTTTGGGAGTCATCATATCATGGTTCCTTGGTACCGAGAGTGAATACCCAGGTAGTTGCTGATAGCATCGCGCGCACGGACACGGCAGGCGCGGAGGAGCCAATCGGAGTGGTTGTGCCTCAACTACTCATAGTCATCAGATCTCTCCACGACGCGTTCTCCACTTCACCTCGCGGGACTTGTTATCGTTTTAACAACCGAATCTACATGCGATCCTATAGAACATATCAGAAAGCGATCGGGACGACTTCGACTGGCTTCACCATGAATTGTTTGGGAACCCCCGCTTTGACAAACGCTCCGCAGCACCTGACCCAGGCAACGAGCCAGCTTCAGAATGAGGGTTCAGCCTTGTCCCAGCTGCAATTCCAGCTACGCGCACCCCCGGGCAAGACGGCGGCGTGTCATCAGTCCCTGCAGTACCAACTGCGCGATTCCCATTGACTGACACCCCATGTCGACATCAGCCAGATCAACTTAGGATTGTGCTCAGGCCCCAATACATCGACAGAACTATCCAGAGGCTGCTAAAGTTCCTCCGCTACTCATCACAAACTGCGCGTGATACCGCGCTGTATCCGTTTTCCTCTAACACAAAGACACCACGCCGCACCCCGGCACCAAATTGCAAACGACTCTGCAAGCCTTCTCGTGAAAGGAGCCATCTATCAGACAGGATATCCCAAATCATGGCCACTCTTACTGATCTGCCCCCAGAAATCCTAGAGCAGATCTTCCATTTCCTAGGAAGCATCGACGACGTTCACCATCTTGGGCGCACATGCACCAAAACCCACCATGTCATCAAAAAACGCAACATCTATCTCGAGATTATGCGCTCGATTATCTACTTCAACCCCCAACACCGCTACGACTTCCAGCTCAACAGAGCCCTGTTCCTCCATTCCAAAATCGTTGGACACTTTCAACACCACGTGTCACGCTTGCCCGCCAGCCAACCTGGAATGAATAAGAATAACTGGGAGCATTATTTAAACAGTACGGCTAATGCATGCTGCTCGCCACAAGAATGGACAGATGATGCAATCTGTGACGTGCTAGCACGATACCAAGGGTTACGCGTGTTGGAGAACACGTGGATGGAAAGGGAACTCCAAGAGGAAGACTTCCTGTCTGTAGATCATACCTCGGATGCTCAGCGGCTCGTGCATCGATTCAAAACGGTCGTTGGCCGTGGCGATGAGTTCACATACGACGATATGCCTCCACGCAATCCGGAAACGCCACACACCTGGGGTTATCGCAGTCTCAACGCCGATCAGAGGGGACGATTCTATGCCGCGGTGGTGTGCGTCTGGCTTCTCAACGAGATCAGATGGGTGTTGACCCACTTTAGCTACCCGGCGAACTTCACTATTCAGATCGGAATATTGGAGTCGTGCAAGAGCAGGATTGTAGCAGAAAAAGATATCCCACTGCTGGATGAACTGGACCGTCATGCTGTATTTGCTTTCATGTATCAGCATGTACTTCCACTCCATGCCCTATACTTCGCCGACGCCAGTTCTTCGCACCTACCCTTCACATTCGTCTCCGACTTCTCCAAGGACATGGCTCACTGTCCTAGGTACGTGTCCCGCAGCAACAACCCCATCTCATGCAACACTCGATTGTATATGTACTAACCACCGCGACAGACTACTCCAACTCTTCCTAATGTCCGGTCAAACCTACTTTCAACCCCCCGACCTAATCGACCTCATCGTCCGCTCCAAGGCATCCCGCCACCGACCTTACACCCACCTCCACACACCCTGCTCAACCATACTATGGAGACACCCTCGACGAACTCATTTCCAGCCCTACAATGACCTCTGCAATGAAACCAACAAGGCGCATGTTCAGCATAATTCGACACGGCATCTCACGCTCATCACGCGCTCTTCCTTCCACCAATCGCGCTGGGATATGAGTCAAGGACTTATTAGAGCTCCGGCGCTTGGCGAGGCGTTGTTCAGAGTACCGGATCACGCGAAGCGGTACTTTTATGATCGCGCTATGGTGGCGTTTGAGATGTGGGAGACGAAGCGGACGGGGTTGAAGGATATACGGACTGTGTTTCCTAAGAAGTGGGAGGAGATTAGGTGGTGCATTTGGTGGTGGGCGGGTAGTGAAGAGAAGGCGAGGATGAAGATGGAGAGGTTGAGGGAGACGGTGGGGTCGCAGTAGGGCGAATCTTCGCTGCCATGTAGAATTGTTGGATCATCAACGGGGGATGTTGATGAACGGATGTCGGACGATGGTTGAAAGGGAAAAATTAGGAAACAGCTTTTCATGGTCGAGACAAGGCTCCATGAGGTCAGTGAATGCGACATTCGCATATTTGCATATCCGGGGTACATAGCTGCTGCTACTTACGGTGCCGAATATCGAATGCGAAAACACAAAAACATAAAAACAGCTCAACAACTCGGACAACTTGGATCGTCAGCAAGATTCAGCTTCCTGTTACAGTTTGCATGTCCCATCATGTGACGTGACTATTTCCGGCTATGTGGTCTAAAACGATTGCGGGCCGGAGCGAGGGCAGTGTGGCTGGGATTGTGGCTGTCGTCAAAAGGAATCATCGATCTAAGGCCCGAAACTTCTAAGCCTCGGGCCTAAATATTTATGAAATTAGAACAAGGCAGCAATCATGACGCAACTTCTATCGATCATGGATGATACCTGGGTTACGCAGATTACGCATCCTTTTGACATCATTGTGGCCTGCTTGTTGCTGGACTGTTTGAGAATGACTCTCAATTTACGCATACTTGGATGCCGAGGCGCATTCGGCCTCGAGGTGTGGCGGAACGTCCAAACCCCATGGCATGAACACCATGTCGACGTTGACGTGCAGCAACACGCGCCTTGGTCTTGCTTCATAGAGTTAAACCATTTGCAACAGGATTAGCATCCGCAGCTTATCAGTTCCAATGCATCGGGTTACAGCGGCTAGGATGGGTGAAGACATAGTGGTGCTCTTGGTAGAGCGGAGAAGGTGGACAGTTGAGGACTAGCTGGCCAGGCATAACTATGAAGGCTTGTATATCGCAGACAGACAATACGGACTGCTAGGAGCTCGCGGCAGAAATCGGGAAGGTCAATGGCCGCGTTCCGTTTTCCCGTAGGCACAGGGATCGATAGATGGCTCGCTCGTGCTGCCGACCATTGGCATAGGAACGTGAAAGTGCCGGCACAACACGGCCCTCACCGAGGCGCCCGATGTCCCAAGATCCAAGGCCAATTGGGTGCAAGCAGGTGCGCTGACATGAGCAGACGGCGAGATTTGCTGTTTGTTGGAGCGCAGGCAGCCATGTATAAAACAGCTTTTGGCAAGTGAGGGGTCGAAGATACTCGCGAGACGTCATTGGCGTGTAGAAGCGCGTCAACTGCGCTGCTGGAAAGTGAATGCAGAACCACGATGAATGCGAGGGTTGTCAACGCAGATGCAGCCATAGAACAGGCCAGCGACATGTCAGCTGCTAGCAGCTACACGGCGGCTCTCGGGCGCTGGGCGAGGGAATGGTGAATGCGCCGAAGTAGCGTGGGCTGTCGGGTTCTCTTAGAGCACCACCTTAACGAAGAAAAATTCGCGCTTGAGAGTGACCCTCTTTCTCCCACCTACGCTTGCTTCTCCCGCACACACGACAGCCAATTTTCTTGCCTGGCGCCCCGTCTGCCTTGATCACGTCGCATCCGACCCTCAGACGCCGCCTCAGCCCGCTCCGTCGCTGTTGCACGCACGCCAGACGAGCCTGTACCGCAACCCTCGTGTGCCTGGAGCCCGTACCTCACTGCACCCTCCAACCCTCATTATCCGCCAAAACCCACCGCCCACCCCGAGCACTCCGCCGACGCAGTCACAGCTGCCCTCTCTGCGCGCCTGCCCACCCCGCCGCCCACGCAGACTCGCTCCAGAGGTTAGTTCCGCCCACAGCACCGCCCACGCCCGCCGCACGCTTGCTTCCTGCCTTGCTCCCCGCCTCGAGTTTGCTCGGCACGCTGCGCAACCCTCCTCCCCTTCTCCGCCTTTCACTCTCCCAGTTGCGCTCTGTCTTTCACTCGCGCTCCTTCCCGCTTAGTCCTCGGCGGCCCACGCAGCCATTTCAACTTGCCGTGCGCTCGCTCCCAGTCCTCCACCACAACTGCCCACGTCACTTGTTTCCACCACCACGCCTCATATGCTGCCCACACTGCGCTTGTAGCACCTCTGTCCTTCGCTAACCCCCGTCACTGCAGTACGCGCAATTACCGTCACCGTCGCCAAACAGTGAAGTAGGAAGCAGTTACTTTCCTCACATTGTGCGAGACCGCCTCGGTACAAAGCCCTCGTCCAGCACACTGCCCAGCTCTCCATCAGTGCAGAGCTATATCGTCGCCGCACCGCTTAGTCGTCAACGCAAGGCTTGGTAGCAGCAAAGAGATTTGCGTGCGGGGAGGTCAAGAGCAACCTCTCCGGACATACCAGCGTCAACACCTGTTGGCCAGCTTGCCGCAGCGCTCCCACCGGGGACCCTAAGCGCTTACTCTCGTCTTACCAGCCGGACTTTAGTCGAGATCCACACAAATTCCAAAATGGCCTCCACATTTTCATATGCGCAAGCCGCGAAGGGCGTCGTCACGCCTGCCACCACGAGCAAGTCGGCATCCGGCTCTGCTACACCAGCCAAGGACGCCAACGGCGCATCTGTCCCAGAGACTAGCGCGTCACCCAGCAACTGGGCCGAAGACGTCGAGTCTGAGTCGCGCCCTGAGCAGCCTGCGAAACCCCGCGAGGCGCGCACAGAGCAAGCCGCACCCAACGTGGTCAAGGTTTCACAACCCGTAGATGCCTCCAACATATCCTCGCCGGATATGGGGGCCTCCACTTCGTCGACAGTCACCAAGGACGACGATGTCTCCTCGATACCGAACACCTCCTCTGAGTCGACCACCTGGGATAACAAGTCTCAGGCCTCCACCTCGGTTGATAAGTCGGTTGAGCCAGTCGAGAAGACCTCTGACAAGGTCAAGAAGGCCAAGAACGTGCCTGCTAAGCCTCTCCAAGAGGCGCCTGTACCGACTGTGAACCCTTGGAAGATACGGGCGGACACGATTAAGTCTCAGGTGCAGAAGGTTGCGCCTCAAACAACTCCCAATGGAGTGTCCCATGGGGCAAACGGAGTTCAGGCCAAGAACGGCGACTCAAAATCCCAAGAGAAAATTACAAACGGCGAGAGCAGAAACAAGGGCCGAAAAGAATTCAAGGGCGACCTCGATGTGAGGAACGGTGCTAAGGGCAGGTTCCCCGAGAAGGATGCCAAGGCAGCTCCGGCTTCGAGCGCGCTGCCTCCTCCACCAAACCGCGACCAGGAGTCATGGCCGACTCCCGAGACCGTCATCGACGAGGATCGCAAGAAGGCCCAAGAGAAGGGCGAGAAGGAGCAAAAGGAGCGCAAGGATGGCGCTTCGACTAGCAAGCATGAGTGGGTGAAAATCCCCTACACACCAACAGTTGTGTTCAACACGCCTCTGCCAAACGCGGCGGGCGCCAGGAGAGGTGGCCGTCCTGGAGGACGCGGTGGAGCAGTGAACGGTGGCAGGCCTACTAGCTTTGGCAACGGTGCTGAACAGACCGAGAAGGATGGATTCGCATCGAACGGCGAACAGACGAGGCGCGAGCGCGCTGAGACAGCTACCCAGGATGCGTCTCCCAAGGCAAAGCGTAACGGTAGCGCAGATGCCCCTACACTTAACGGCCAGGCCCCTGTAGTCAACGGCGACGCCGCTGGCAAAGCCGCTGGCCCCGTACCCTCCGAGTCTGAAGCGCAGCCCAGGCGATCGTCATTGTCCAACGTGCCCGCCCAAAACGGCGCTTACCAACGCCAGTACCCCACCAAGCCTCACAAGGGCCGCCGAGGCGAATTCCACGGTGCCGGAGAGCGAAGGAGAGATGGCGCATCCTCACCTACTAAGGATAACACCTGGGGTGAGCGTCAAAGTTCTGCTGGAACGCAGACAGATGTCAATGGAGATGGTGAGCGTAGAGCGCATACCTTCCAGGACGGCTCCTCGCATGGTCATTCCAAGCGCTTTAGCTCGTTCTCTAACGGCCGCGAACGTGGCCGTGGAGGCCGTGGCGGCCGTGGAAACTACACCAATGGACACCACTTCACCAACGGTCACTCCACGTCGAGCTTTCCTTTGGGCCCACGATCGCCCACGACCTTTGTACCTGAGAGCAACAGCTTCTTCCCCGCGCCTCACGGCAAATTCGGTCGCAACAACCACCGTTCACAGTCATTGACCACCGATCCGTACAGGTATCCACCATTCCAGCCCGGGTACCCAGCTCCTATCCAAACGTCGCATGAGATGTATCCTTATGGCATGCCTGCGCCCATGAGCGCTGGATTACCGTACAGCCCATACGGCGTCGATCAGTACTCGGTCTTCGCTATGATCACGACCCAAGTGTATGCTTTTAATCCGCCCGTCACAAGAAACATGCTAACAGATTACTAGGGAGTACTACTTCTCTGTTGATAATTTGATCAAGGACTTGTACCTACGTCGCCACATGGACTCTCAGGGATTCGTTGCTCTTGAATTCATCGCCGGTTTCAACCGCATCAAGAGCCTGTCTCCTGATATCGACATGATCAGGCTCGTCTGCCAACAGTCTGCCACAATTGAGTACCGCACCAGCGAGAACGGCCAGGACCGACTACGTCGCAAGGAAGGCTGGCAGCAGTGGGTTCTTGACATGGCCGAGCGTGATCCATCTGCACAGAACGAGGGACCAAAAGAGCTGAACCAGCCTCAGGTCTCTCGCCCTGCAGGCTTCGATCCATCCAACCCTCCTCAGTGGTCGGCCATGTCCCCAGCATTCAGCCCGTTCGGTAACGAGGGCGCGTATCCCCAAATGAACGGTTTCCATCCCGTTGCCCAGGATGCCGGTTCAGTGCCGGCAGAGACGAATGGCGTGGCTGCCGAAGAAGTGAACGCGGCCGTCTCGAATGGTCACCCAATCGAGAGCTCGACAAAGGCTGTGAGTGGAGATATTCCTGATTCTTTTTCCGACTTGCAACTCGACAGCTTGACAGTCGTCATGCGCAAGCAACCCCCGTCGCAAATGTCGTTGCCTCCTTCCGTTTCCCGAACGTTTTCTAATGGCTCCATCGATAGTAAACATGGCGTGCCAG